ATAGTCATATTTACCAATCGAAGTTCTCATTTAAGCAGCCTTATTTTTTTCAAAAATAATATCTCAGTCCTTGATTTAGGAGAAATTGCTGCATATTTATGTCCTAAAGATTTCCGTCACCTATTCCATATATAGGAAATGGACGAGCCGCGTTTAAAGCTCTATTCCCAGATTAAAACAACTAGTAACTTTAGTAATTTTAGTATTTTGGAAGAGCGTTTTAAACACTACACAAATAATGATTTTCATTCTTTTTACTGTACCCCAGTACAACTCCATAAATGTGGGATAAAATGGCTGAAAACATGTGTCATTAGTAAATAAACATTATTTACTAGGAATGTTGGCGTTTGTAGTTTAGCACGCCGTTTAGTTTCCCACATTTGCTGTTATGTATTTAGTTCTGGTGACTCCTGGTTTTGTCAGTACTGGTTGGAAGGCCTGCTTTGCTTCCTCCTTTTCAGGTCCTAATTAAGAGCTGCTCCCATCTAAAACAGGAAATGATGTCACCGGACAAACTAGACTTCTGTCCAGGGTATACCCCACCTCTTGCCCTATGGGCCAGCTGAGATAGGCTCTAACCCTCATGAACCTGAACTGGATAAGCAGAAGAGGATGGATTGATGGATGGACTTCACATGGAGCCTATTTAAGTTTGTTTCCTTCCAACATGGCTCGCTCTCCTCCTGGAAGGCTGGAACTTATCAGGCAGCCAATTTGGTTTTCTTTCCACTTGATTGCGTGTCATCCCTAATTTAAGTTGCGTGTTGGTTGTAGGTTAGCACCAGTTTTCTTCTTTTTCTCAGTTTATGATTAATAAATTGGCTTGGTGGAAGCTGTTGTTGTGTGGCTCTCCCTTCTATATTATTTCCTGCATGAGCCAGACAAAACAAGCTTGTTCACTGCAAATCTGCAAAATCCTTGAATGTTCAAGGCTGTGAAATCTATTGGGACTACAAAAAGACAGCATCCGATCCATAGCTCCACTAAGATGTAGTGGAGCTATGGATAGGAACTTTAAAAGAGCCTTTAAATACTAATATTACAGCAGCACCATTCCACCTCCCTCTAAGATGCTGTCCTGATGCTGTGATTGGATGTGTGCAAAGTCTGTTAGAGACTGTAAAAAAGTGGTGAGCCAACTTTGTTGTAAAATTAGGAGTGAAATCCCAAATATTGGGAACATTTGGGATTTCAGCCCTATATGAACTCAGTTAATCAAAGGAATCCGTACACAGCAGTACACCACTCATGAAAAAGGTGCATTAAAAAATTGCAAAAGTGCAATTACTATTATGAAGGCGGAATCTGCCTAAAGATTACAAAGATATCTCTTCATACTGAGCTGTAAACTTGTATTTCAGCTCTAAAGTCGGTCATTTTAACACGGAAGTCCATGGGGATTGGCTCACCACTGCTGTCTGCCTCAAGTGGCCACTCCAGAAACTGTAGTTGCGTCCAACTGTTGGCTTCACTGTTCACCCGGAGAGGTCGCTGCCTCCTGTCTTTCAAATTCCTTTCAGTACACTCCACTTATCCACCAGCCTTCACAAAAATGTGCCCCAGTAGTTTTCACCTCATCCTGCTAAAAAAAGACAAACTGGCTCACAGCAGCACAAACCTAACCTTCTTGGCAGGGAAACACGGGACGTTATTGTTGCTATCCATAATTCTCTGCTTGCTGCAGGTAACTTAAAGCAAAAAAGCTCTTCTGTGCACTTAAGAGTCCATTAAGACAGAGTCAAAGTGAAATACCCTGCCAAGCGGTCATGTTCTCCCCTTAACATTTCCACTAGAAATAAATGTTTGAGTGGTTAAAGGAACATTTATTTAGCAGGAAGCAATGGGTTCGTGCTCTGCAGCTAGATATCTAAAACTGCTCAGAAGGCACCGAGCAGTGCACTGAACACACAGGGCATACATAAAGACTCCTCGGCAGCTACGTCCTAAAGGCTTTGAAAGCACTTCTTGTTTAACAGCTTCTTGCTATGAATGATGGGAGCATAGAGTCACAACTAGAAAACAGAGATCCGTATTTGTGTTTCTTTTTAGCTCTTCTCGGTGGAATAAGCAGCCGTGGGATTGGGTGGCTGGGACTGAGCTATGTCTGAATCAAAAAGTCATGGCAGATGTTGTAACAGGAGGGGCTGGATTGGTTTCTTAGCAACATGTGGTGACCCAGGACCAGTAATAACCTGCAGCATTTCATACCCAGGGCCAAGTTTAAGCCCTAAAGCTGGCCCGTGTTTAAGCCTATTAATAAACCTGAACTCATGCCACAACTGGCGCCTAATGCAGGCACCTCACCTCTACTTGACCCATGCCTATTATTGCGTCATAACTAGGAGTGTTTCATGTTTAGACCAGTCAGTGGAATCTGATCAGAACACATTAATCCAGTGTCTGGAGTTAAACTGGAGGGGTTAGGTAGATAAAGCTTTTACATCCCCACTGAGCTTTAAAGGTACTTTATGTAATTTCCTTCTGCAACTTTAGATATAAATGTCACCACCAGGAGGTGGTGTTTTAACACCACCTCCTGGTGGTGACATTTATAGCTGATTTAAATTTATAGCTGATTTAAATGGCTAAATTACCTCCTCAACATGTCTCGAAGTTCTCCAGAGGCCTGGTGATGAACTAATCATTTGATTCAGGTGTGTAGACCCAGGGTGACATCTAAAACCTGCAGGACACCGGCACTCGAGGCCTGGAGTTGCCCAACCCTGGTTTAGATTATGAGTGTCAAACATAAGGGCTGGGGGCCAGATCAGCGAAGACTCTAATCCGGCCCTACTTAAAAGCTGTGGAAAACTTTTAACTGTATTTTCACAAGTTTTACAGCTTTATCTTTACTGATAAAGATCTCCCCCATGATACACCAAAATATTTAGGTAATAGATAAAAAAATTTAAATGACAGAAAATGTCATCTTTTTCCCTTTTTTTTTTTTTAAACAATGATACACTGTAAAAATAAATAAAATATAATTTTCTGACAGGACAATCAAAGAGCTACAGCTCTGCAATTTTACATGTTTTTCTTACAATTTAAGAGATCAACTAATTTTTAAAAATAGTAATTTTTTTTAAACAGTTTCACTGATTTCTTTTCAGAAATTCATGTCAAAGTTTATGGGGATAATGTGTGGTGACAGAATCTACTTTTAAAGTAGGCCAGTCTGTTACTTAACTCACCTGACGCTATACTGATTTAAGTGTTGCCTTAATAGGTTTTATTTTTAGCTTCACAGACTTCAGGTACAAAAAGAAAAACCTTACTTCCTCATCTACATTATTCTGTATCCTCAAATGACTGAAGAGGTGCTCATGCTGGAATTTCATCGTCATGGCAACGGGGAAGCAGCTGATACACAGACTCATTTTATTGCAGCTCTGCATCTTTACCAGGTGCAGGTGAAGGCTGAAGATAAGAAGTCAAGGTGATAAGCGTTGCCAAAGAACCTTTACCTCCTCGCTCTTTGATGTTTGGAGACTCTTTGTTTTGCTGGCAGATGTATGTAGACTTGATGGACGTCCATCCCGTCCAGCAGTCCATCCCTGCAATCCCCGATGTGTCCTAGTCAGATACCAGAACCACCTCAGCTGGTTCCCTTTAATTGGAGGAGCTCCTCCAAGTGTACTAAGGCCACACTTCCTGCAAAGGAAACCCAGCTATCGTTTCACCATAACAAACAGAAGCAAATAATCAGGATAATGCGTTTTGCTGTGACCACCTACAGCACCATCAGACATCTCCCACCTTCATCTTCTTTCTGCCCTCTCTGGACGTGATTAGATGCCAATCTATAATGCTTCAGGGAGCCATGTATTGAGAGCCATTATCCATGATGATCACGTCGAGTGGTCATACAGCAGCTAATTAGTGGGGGTCGCATACAAGGACCTGAAGCACCTTAAAGTACAAAAACTGCAACACTACCCTGCTGACTGAAGCTTCGTCAGCTCAAACAGATACTCGGATACAAGAGACGAACCAGGGCTCGTTTTGCATTATGTCTTTATTGCAGATATTTTTTTTCCCCCATTTTTTCTTGTTGTTTGTATACATGTCAAGACTGAGTTGAGCGACTGTACTGCAGTACTGTGAGCAGAATAATGCATGTGAATACAGGAGGCGGCAACCCGCAGGATCTTTTTTTCTTTAAAATCGAGACGAGTCCGATGACCTTGATTGTCACACTAAAAATGTTCTCATCCAGAGCCGTTGTTTTGTTTTTTGTTTCATCTCGGCAGCCGTTTACACCTGTCTGGACAGGAGAACTGAGGTCGTCGGGGAGCTATACACCTTGTCCCCGTGTCACACACGGCAACACAAACTGTAAAACATTTAAGTGAGCGAACCTAACGTGGCGTAGGTTCTGCACATCCGAAAATAAAAAATAAAATAAAAAGTTAAATCAGACTGTTGTGAGTGCTTCTTCTCATCAAATTGTGTTAAATATATCACGGTCAGATCAGAAGTAGTGTTAAATGTTTTTTTAAACATATTTTTGTCTAATTCTTTTTTAGATTTATTTACAACAGTAAATATTGCCTCTTCTCATCGATACGGAGTTTGCTACGAGAGGTGTCCATGTCGCTGAGCTAAACGTGAACGTTTTCAGCAGAAACACTTTGGCATTAGTTACCAATTTAAAAACAACAGAAGAAGAAGAATTGCCCTTTATGGGGAGATCGCACATCTTGCCAGCTAAATGCAGCGTCAGAACTAAAGTGCTTGTGAGACCTTTTATCCCCAGCGTAAGCTCTCATTCTCATGGAAACCGAATGAGGGGATATAGATGAGGCTTGATGAGAAAAAGAAGAGAATAGAATAAAACAAACAAACAAACGGACGAACAAATAAACAGAAAGAACCTCCAGCTGATGGAGGTTTGATGGAGGGCTCAGTCAGTGGAGCCCTGCTGCTTTTTTCTTGTTTTTTTTTTAATCTGAGTCCAATCTCCTGTAACACGTGATGCAACCAAACAATTCTACTCCAACTGTGTCTCCTCTCAAAGAAGATTCAAGGCTTTTATTTAGCTCACTTTCCCTCCCTTCGCTCACTCCATGAGGTTTGGGTGGACGCTGACATGAATTTATTAACACAGAGATGTTGCAGGAAGTCCACCTGGGCACAGAGCAGAGGATTCAGGAGGGTTAACTCTCGATGGTTTAGCGGTGAGTGGAAGCGTGCGAAGCTCGGAGCTGAGGCCTAGCTGGCGCCGCTGCCGCTTCCTGGGGGTTTGAGGCAGTCCTCTGTCACGCCCTGAGAGGCCAGCTCAGACAGAACATTGTCCAAATAGTTGGGGTCAGGGTAGCCGTGGCCCGATAAGTTGGACATCATCTCGGTTTTGTGGTGGATGCCGTTCCACACCACTGTGTCGGGCTCTCCGGTGGTGCTGGACGTTCCCACGGTGAAGATGAGACGCCGCATCCACGCCACCTTCAGCAGCTCGAGGACCTTTACAGCAGAAACACAAGGAACGCTTGTGAGACACGGCTGGATTTATCATCTCATCATTTTCCAGCCTTTAAAATATAGATTTGTTACTTTTGTTTGTGTCACTGAATAGTTCACAGCTCAATTAAACAATTGTTCAATAACTTAAGACGAGTCTGGTTCTGTGAGAGGTTTCTTCCTGGTAAAAGGGAGTTTTTCCTTCCCACTGTTGCCATGCGCTTGCTCATGTGGTCTTTAAGTGATGACTTATGAACCCTGCTAC